CAAACCTCTGCCTTTGTTGAGACTTGGGTCCAAATCCTGTATTGTAGTTTAAATCTAATCCAAGAACTGCTCTTTATCCAGCTATATTTTAATTTATATTGCAAAAAAGGAAACACGAAAAACCTAACCTTCATCATCCTTGCATATATAGGTAAACCACAGAAAAATATCTCTTTACAGAACTTCTGCTTCATCTGTCTAAAAAAAAAGAGGTTGGCTTTTTACCATGATTATGTTTCTTCCTGTTTTTTTTTTTTCATGGATGTTGATGCAGTTAAGCTCTTCTCTGTTGCTTTTTCTTTCAATTCCCTCTTCTCCCCTCTTTTTTTCCCAGTCCATTCTTGTGTATTGTCCTTTTCCATTTTGCTGCTGAGGAAAGATGTTTGAGAGGGGGAAAACTGAAAACTCTCTCAAACACCAAATTTCTTTGCACTGGTCTGAAGTTAAATGAATACAGACTTTTTTCTTTCCTTAGTCATCCTTGCTGGGACCTGGGGGAAGCATTGTGCTGCATGAGCTCAGTGCTTTGCAAAATTATCTGAGGAGTGGGTACAATAAAAGATGGGTCCCAGCCAGAACTCTGGATATGAGCACTTCCCATCCCTGAAGGGGAGTTGGGATTTTGACACTGGGGCTTGTTCCTTTCTGTCAAGACTGGAAGCCAAATACCCCTGAACATCACGAGAGCTCAATCCCAAGTGCTCTTGTCTCTGGGCAGATTTCTGGGATGAGCAACCTGCAGTCCTGGGACAGCAGATCCTGAGAGGCACAACAGTCTTTTAAAGGAATAAAACCATATCCAGGGCTGGCCCAATGGGCCCTGGGACCCCTTTGCTGTCACTGGGGGTGAGGATGAGACTGCAGATTCCCTCAGGGAGCAGCTCCCTGTGTTTATCCTTGGCTGCCTAAAACCAGGCTTGTGCTGTTTTTCCTGAGTTTTAGGAGCACAAGGCAAACGACTTTCAGCCCACAGCCCCTGTTAAGGGCTAAATCCCAGCCCAGCCTTCAAACCCAACTCAGCTCAGCCCAAAGCCAGTGGAAAAGTCACTCAATTCTTGGCATTTCAGTGACCATACCAAAAATAAGCCCAAAGCAGAAAAAACCTTAAAGCAAGAGGAAAAGAGCACTTGTCTCCCAACAGCAGCTGGGATCCCTACGTTTAGTTCTACTAGAATTTGTATTTTACTCCAGTTGCAGACTGGGTTTCCCCATTTCTTCATGTGTTTTCCCTCCATCCAAACATATTCTGAATGTGCTTTCCATGATCACTCCAAGGGATTATCAGTGAAAGTCATTCAGTGTGAGCAGCAGCAGAAAGTGCTTCAAGAGCTAATTCTGCACTTAAATAATCATGTTGAAAAATAAGATGTTAAGATTTCTCCTCCGCCAAAAGAAGAATAAAAACATCTTCAGTGTCTTGTGGACTCATGAAAAACTAGCCCAGACAGCAAGAGAATTGCATTTTTACCCAGACTGACTCATAAATAATTAGAATGGGATTAACAAGGGGAAAAAAATAATCCAAAAAATCAGTGGAACTGTTCCCACTTTGAAGTAGGGCTGAGTCAGAAAAATTATTTTGATCTAGGAAGTGGGAAATGCCATTTTGTAAAACTTACTTTACCTTTTGTTGGAAAATGGCCAATTTTGCTTTCCTTGGGACTTAGAAACCTATCATTAAGATCTTTGTAAATTTTGTATTCTCATATTTATCAGTTTCATTGAACAGCAGAGAAACACCACACTCCACTTCCTATCTCAGGGCAAGAAAGTGATGTTTTTTTCCTGTTTCCACATTTATTTTCCCACCCTGTTATGTAAATCTATCAGAATTCTTCAAATTGGACAAATCCACTGGGTACCAAATGAAAAAAAAACCCAGCAAATGCATCTGCATTATCCATTTTATGAAAAACTTTTTGGTTGAGGAAAATACTGAAGTTTCCAAATGTGGTGTTTACAGTACATCTCTGATTGTTTTTTTTTTTTTAGTTAAAAAAGCCCCAGGATGGTTTGGGGTGGAAGGGGCCCTAGACCTCATTCAGTCCCACCCCCTGCCATGAGCAGGGACACCTTCCACTATCCCAGGTTGCTCCAAGCTCTGTCCAATGTGGTCTGGAAGAAAACTGCTTCATTACAAAATATTTCACTTTGACTCACACAAGTTGAAATATCTTTGATGCCTTCCCTGACAGTCAGCTTTTTGTTTCTAGAATCATCTGCACACAAAATTTGATTTAATCAGCTCTTCAGGCTTACAAATCAACTGAGTGGAAACTCTTGCAGTTTTTATGCAACCTGATGGTGAAACTCATTATTAGACAAATGATTTCCACTCAATTGCTCTCTTCACTCTCCCTGAGTACTATGGCATTTGAGACTTGTGGAAACATTTTCTGTGGAGATAAGAGTGTTGATGCCACTATCCAAGAACAATAGAGGTTGATTACAGATTTCATAGACCATCTAATCTAATTCCTGTCTAAACAGGCCATAGGTCTTTTTAAATTAAACATTATTTCTAGTCCAATAGATACAGTTGAACTACAGCACAATTCTGGAAAGAAGAGGAAAAAAAAAAGACATCCACAGATAAAGAATGTGCAACTCAGACATTGTATCAGCTCCAGACAAGCAGCAAAATCCTGCCTCGCTACCTTTGCCTCTCACTGGGGCTGTCATGAGCATGTCAGGGCTCTGTGGAAAAAAAATGCTCAAAGACAACTAAATTTTGATGCATTTAACAGCAGAGGAAACATTTTGCAGTTGACAGCCTGTGTTTCCAACAGAAAAGGCAAGAGGGAAATGTTTCATCCCATTTCTAGCTCACTGTGACACAGAAAAAAAAGGAACTAAAAGGTAACAAATACCAGGTGTTTTCTAAGTTCCTTGCAAATGAGTGTTGCCCAGCCCTGGTAAATTTGGTTTAGGTTTAGGTGAAAACCTGTAGATGCACTTAAACTAGTGGCTGCCTTTTCCAAGTTGATTATTGCGTACTGGACACACAGGGAGTGGAGCACATCCCACCCTGGCTTGGCTAAAGCTGGAGTTTCACCACATGAAACTGTAGGCTCTGTCTCACACACTGTAAACACACACAGTGAGAAGCACGGAGAGGATTACTTGGGAAGTATTTCTCTATTAAGCCATTTCAAAGATCAGTCCCCAGGCAGGATTATACAGATTCATTTCTTCAAGGAGTTATCCACATTTTATAACATTAGCACTGTTCTAGGCCAGGATGTCCCACAAACATCACTGTTGCTTGTATGATTTATTTATTTTTACCTTTCTGAAAGCCATTTTCAAGTTTTAAAGACATCTTCAATCACTGACTGGATGGGGAACAAAACCAGGTTTGATACATGGCAAATCTTGCCAGGCTGGGACACTCAACCATGAAAATAAACTGCACTAATCCTTTACCAAATACCTATTTTATGTTACCTGATGCAACACAGAGCTATTGCAGAGCTGGAATCAGACACTTCAAACACCACTGAGCAAGAAACTGGGGAAAAAGAATCCCTTTCTCCCCATTCAACACTGCTTGGATAAACCATTTGAGATCTGTGTGTGAATCCTTGCCATCCCCAAAAAAAGGATATTCAGAAAGCATCTTTACAGGGCCACAAAGAGCCACTAAATGTGTGTCCAAAACTGGAGGAGGTGACAGAAGATAGTGCCCTTGTTCTGACACATTCATCCAGTGACAAGATGGCATTTACAACACCCTCAACTCCCTTAGCAAGTGCCACAAATAATTTACATGGAGATTGTTCTGCAGTGATGTCAAGGAAAATCTGGTGATTTCCATTTCCTCCAGATTTTGTTGGAATAGAAAAACCTATTCCAGAAAAGCCCCTGCCTGATATTCTGAAATGAGAATCTCTGGAAGAGAAACAATAGCAACAACTGTTTGATTTATGTATTTTATTTTTAATTAAAAAATAAAGGTTATCTTAATACATCTCTTGCAGCCTTTGGGCAAAATGCACCCTTAACAAGACTCTATGAAACATGATGCACATCTTTTCTTGGCACATATCTTAAACAAATGCCAACTTCCTGCAGCAACTTTGGAAATCCATCATTTCCCCCAAACCCTGAAAACATTTAACAATTCATTTAAAAAATCCCTACAAAAATCAGAAGTGGGCCCAAAGCAAAAGTCCCAGATCCAAGCACCCAAAAGCTTTTGGAGCAGACTTATATCCAAATGCTCATCTCATTCCAGGTTTTATCCCACATCACTGCAAATTCACAGACACAAACTACCCAAGTAGAGGCACCTGGAGCTGACCCAGGTATGGATCTCCCTTTGGAAGCTTTGATCTTAACTGGGCCAAAGCAAAACCGGGCCATTTCCTAAAATCGTTTAAGTCAGGCACATCCCTAACAGAATGAAGTGCTGGTTACACGAGGAAATGGTGCTTGCTGTCAGAGCTCCCATTCCTCGGCTATCCCTGATCTGAGCCCAGGCCAAGCTCTTTGTCCACTGCAACCACACGAGGCAGGGATTAAGCCAAGTGAACACACTGACCCTCCAACACAGCCACACACTTGCCTCCCACTGCTTGGGAGAGCCCCAGGCTTCTCAAAGAGCTGTCTTGGGGTTCTAGGCGTGGTTTTCCCTGGAAACCCGCCCCAAGTTTTTTTCCCTGGTAGTCCCGGCCCCAACCCTCTCTTCAGGAAGGCTCAGGCACCTGCCAGATGAACAGGCTGACACCATTCCCACAGGATGTCTTTGTTCACCTGGCCCATGATGGCTGATTCCCAAAGGCACAAAGTGACCAATCCTTAGATTTATACACAAGGTCTACATACATATATGTATGTATGTATGTATGTATGTGTATATATATATATATGTGTGTGTGTGTGTGTGTTTGTATATATATATATATATATGTACACACACACCATTACATACATATTTAAATATATATATACATATATATATTTGGCTTTGATTTTTCTCTTTTCTCTTTTTTTTTTTTTTTCTCTTTTCCCCTTCTTTCTTTCCCTTTTAACTTAATGGTAATGGTGTAGTCACCTCTGAGGAAGGCTCTGGTATATGTTCTGGAGACTTCTCTGTCTCCAACAGAACTCCTGGGTTCTCCTCTGTTAGTTTTGGCTCCTCATTGGCTTGAGATCCCTCCCATGCCTGACTCTGAGCCTGGCTGTTCATTTTCTCCTCTGCTTCAATCTCCTCTGAGGTGGGAATGGAGTTTTTCTTTGGACGGCCTTTGGGCTTCGTTGGAGCTTCCTGTCCACCCTTCAACACCTGGAGCAAAGAGATGAACTGTTAGGATTCTGAACTCTGCTGGTCTCAGACACCCTGTTCCTATGCCTATTTCCCTCTCTTCACACCATTCCTGCAGCAACAAGACACCCCAGCCAAGGACCTACATCCAAGCTAATGCCAAATTTGTTAGAAGTGACAGTAACTTCCGCAGGTGCCACATACATCCAAAGGAACAGCCTAGAACTGCACCTCCTCTCCAGGTGGTGGAAATCAGGAAACATGGACACCTCCACTAGAGGATGTCACAGCATCATGTTCCCACCAGCATTTATTTTAACTGGAAAAGGACCATGAAGATGAGAATAAGTGAAAGGTGAAAGGAAGAAATGAGAAGCAAAAATTAATGATAACAGCTCTCAAAACTCCTCCGTTTCCACAGAGCAACAGTCTTTTTTGTCTATGCACAAAACCAATCCCAGAAGCACTGAGATCACACGAATGCCAATAATGCAGAAGGAGGTATTTTGGTTCTTCCCTCAGTTCTATCCTCATTTCTTTCAACCCTCTGCTTTGTTCTCCTCCTACTGCCTTTGGTCCCCTCTAGCTCACCACGTATGGTGAAGTATGAACATTTAAAAAAAAAAAATAAAATACCATCTCTGTGAAAAATGATCAAGAATAAAACAAAGTTTGGTATAAATAGACACAAGTCACTCCACTATGTTCAGCTTCCAAATCTGTTCTTTGCAATCAGTTTTTAAAAGTGATGGAGAAATGACAAGGACCCACTCACCATTTTCTTCCACTTCATCCTACGGTTCTGGTACCACGTCTTCACCTGGAGCTGAGTCAGCCCCAAGGATTGGGCTAAGTCGAGCCTGGGAGACAAACCACACAACAAAGTGAGTTTACAGAAGCCAAGAGGAGCTCAGGTGCCAGGTCTAGGCAGTCCAACACTGTTTGAGCATTCAGCAGTGTCTCTGATCACTTGTCTCAACAGACACACCAAAGTGATAAAGCCCGTGAATTTAGGATGCAAAGACAGATGCTCCTATGGGAGATGCAGGTGTTTGCAAGCTCTCTTTTCTAGAAGTGGCAGGGTTTGTCTGCCCTCTTCGAGACATGAACCTGCTGCACTCCAGCTGCTGATGCTCCATGTTGGTCCATGAATTAGGAGCTACTGGTACATCATATCCATGAAAAACAGGTTACTGGTCTGAAATAAACATGTAGGAACAGACACCCAGCATCAGCTATTCTATTAATCATATTTCTCCTTCACTACCTTCAGAATGGGGATTGTGGCACTTTCCCATTTCTCATGGAGTAGTAGTACATCTAAATCTATTAATTTCGTATACATTCTGCTATTTAGGCAATTTATGCTTCTAAGTGGATTTATTTTTTGTATGTTTAGCTGCAGGGTATATGTGGCAGACAGCCCATAATCCTGATTCATCCTCCACAAATCTCCAACTCATGCAAGTTCATGTGAACCCATTCATTATTTCTATATTAAAGCCCAGGATATGAAGCAAATGCGGCTTAGAGTAGCTCCTGATCCTTTCCCACAGGTGATAGCACCACGCATCTGGCAGTTTTGTAATGGAGTTGCACAAGGGATGGAGTTGGAAATCCTCAGCCATGCCAGGAAAGTGCCCCTCGGAGTCATGCAAGTCCTGCAGGTGGGATAGCTCCAACTCAGAGCCACATTCCACAGTATTTTGCATTCTGTGACTTTTTGGCAAATATCTCCTTGCCTTTGGATGGCAGAACCCTTCTGTCAAGGCCAAGTTTTTCATAATAAAACCTTTGTTACAGCTGGGCTCCTTGGGCAACCAGACTTATATTTGTAAACACCCACATACCCCACACCATTTCTCTGTGCTCCACCTCACACTCAATGATTCATGCTTCTCCCCCACTCTGGATTCACTCTGCACCTGGAGGCTTGTTCTGCCACTACATCACATCTGAAGTCATTGATCTAAGACACCATTACTGTTAAGAGTAGAACACATCAGAGTCATTACCCTGATATAATGTCCTCCCACACTATGGATAAACCAGGGGTTTCAGCTGCCCTCCCAGCACTACAATCTCCTATCCAGGCCAAAAGCTGCAGAAGTGAACATGGACCACAATCCACTGCTTTGCCATGTTTCCAGCCAGGAGTTGACAGAGAGAAGCTTGGCTTAGCCAACCATTCATGCCTTGGTACACATGTCTGGTAACACTTGGATTACCTGCAACCAGCTGCCATCTATTGCCACATACCACAGTGCAACCAGCACTGCCTAGAAACCCAAGGAAACAAACAGAGGGGAAATGGTACATGGGCAGGAATTGCTCATCAGCCTCAATGGAGTCAAGGAACAGTCATGTAAGATTATTAATTACCAGCCTTGAGTGCTTCAGCAAAGGGCAACCACCTGGTGATATGAAGGCAATGAGGAGTCAGTGCAGGCACAGCAGGAATTCCAAAACTCCATGAGGCAGGTTGGCTACAGGCAGGTGTTTTAGTCTTGTGGCAATTTGGTGACAGGCAGTAGGAGCAGAAAAGGCCATCTTCAGAATCAATGTAAATATTGGGACACTGCCCTCTGTGGAGTGACAGGGTTGATACTTTTCAAACCTTCTCCACGTTTACAAACTTCCTAGGAATTGGATGGATCATTTTTCCATAATTTAAATTTGCAGAGTAAGATTCAAAGCCCTTAAAAAAGCTGAAATCTCTTAGTTTGGTTTGCCCATGTGGTACCAAGTAGTGCCTAAGAACTTGCCTGTGCCTTTGCAAGGCAGCTTTCAACTCCAGGCTCTGCTTTCCAAGCTTATGGACGGGCCACCACCTTCCCACTGAATTGCTGCCGAAGGTGCTAGGTGAAAGCCAGCTCAGGAGCAGCTGAAGGTACCATGAACACACAGCCATGAACCAGCAGATCCCAGGGGGAGACAGGCTCCATCCTTCTTCAAGTGTGCAGCAGGAGTGGGAAAGGCAAAGAACCTTCTTCTTTGAGGAGATCTTTGAGCCTGGAGACCTGCTCCCAAGCATGTGTATCATCATCTGACATTTACATATGATCTATTTGTATCACCTTTGATACCAGGAAAAGTAGCTTTGAATTTGCATCAGGTTACTTAACCATGGCTGCAGCCAATGGTAGAGTCAACTCAGTGGAGCCAGAGGCAGCACCTCCTAGCCAGGGTATGTTCAATGTAGAACAGCTGAGCAGGGCTGGAGCATCCCTTTTGCTCATCTCTATTCCTGGTGTGAGCAACCAACCTACCTGTCAGGGGTGGAGAGGTACTTCTGCTTCTGGAATTTCTTCTCCAGGCCCATGAGCTGGATCTCGGTGAAGATGGTCCTGCTCCGGCGTGGCTTCTTCGAGCGCGGTGGGGGCTGCTCCGCCTCAGACTCGCTGCTGCCCTGGGCCTCAGTGGGGGTAACTTCTGTGCCCACGGCCCCCAGGCAGGGCTGGGGGGGCAGCAGCCGGGAACTGCCAGCAGCTGGGACCAGCTGGGGTAGCACGGGCGGCTGCCGGGTGATGACGGAGATGAGAGGATACGCCCGTAGAGAAGGGGAGCCTGGCAGGGAGGAAGCAGAGGTGGATGAAGGTCAGTTCAGTGCTGACGTGTTTGAGTAATGGGAGTGCTGGGGAGAGGAGGGAGACAGGAACATCTTTCCTGGCTCTGCCATTTGCTTATTAAAGGACCACAGGCAAGAATATTCCCCTCTTTGGACCTCTTCTTTCTCCCACATTGCACAACTTTTCTTGGGCTGGGGAACCCTAACCCTAAGACAGGGAAAGACTGCCTTTCCACTCCTTTTTTAGGAGCTATTATAACAATTGAAATCATCTGTCTAATTACCACAGGATTAAACTCCAAGCAAAAGATGAAATATATCCCAATTTTGTTCCCAACTTTGTTTCTCTGGGAAACTAGGACAGGGTTCACTTGAGATAGTCACTTCCCCTCCCCTTGCAGGTAACAGACAAGAGAGTCCAGTTCACAACTCATTCCATCCCCTAGTAGGAACTGCATCAGAACCACTTTCATCCTCCACTGCCCACACTGATCCTGCTGACCATGCAGGAAGATGATGATGATGATCCCAAGAGTTCTTCACTGACTGAACTCTGCATCTTACACCAACCAGTTGATACCAGCCCTAAAAACAAACCAGTTCTGCTCCAATCTTTTCAGGTCAGGGCTGTTCTGGGATGAATGACAAATCCAAACATTCCCAAACATTGGAAGAAGTTCTGATCCATGTCAGGCCTTCTGATTTACAGCTACAGAAATTCCTGCTCAGCCTTAGCCCCAGGAAATTGAATGCTCCTTTAAAGTTTGGGCAGGGAAATTGAGCTACATACGGGAAACGTAAACTCACTGTAAGATATACAACTTGCAGAGTCTTGGGCAAGTCACTTTCTTGCTCTGTACCTCATTTTACCTCATTTGCAAGATGGAAACAATCTTCCTTACCTACATCGCTGGTGGTAAAACATGGATTAAAATTTAATGTACACAAAGTATTCGGAGATCTTTAGATAAATGGGACTGTGGAAAGGAACATATTACACCAGCGGGCCTGATTGTGAAACCCTTTGCATGAATCACCACTAATGAAAATAATGATCTCTAGACCTCAATTAGTATGTTGGGGTGAGTAACTCCACACAGCGGAAGAAAGGAGTTGCCAGCCTGGCCTGCTAATGACCCGTATTTCTCAGCCCTCTCCCCAGCTGTAGGGTTGTGATCACAGGAACCAGGTCCTAGGTGAGCTGGTGTCCTAGTTTAGGGCAAATTAGGGAGGAAAACTCCAAATGGGGATTTCCTCAGGGAAATGCCCCCTCCCCACCAACTGATCCGGGAAAGGGAAAAAAAAAAAAAAAAAAAATTCTTGGAGACAAGTGGAAAAAGCTGTTTATTTAACAGAAATTCAATAATATTAAATAATAAAACCTCTCGCTGCTCGATGGGATGGTAAGTCTAGGAAGAAAAGTCCTTTTCATGTGGTGTAGCTCGGCTCGCTCAGGTTCTTATCAGTCTTTTCGGTGCTGGAAAGTGCCGAGGCCCAGGCCCCGGTGGGCCACAGGCATGAGCTCCCAGGGTTTGGCTGGGTGTTCAGTCCAGAGCAGGTTTGCACAGATCCAAGAGGAAAAAAAAGGAGGGAAAAAAAAAACAAAGGTCCAGGGAACTCCTCAACTCCTCTACCTCAGCTAGCTAAAACGAACTAAAATCCAGAGAGAAGCTCTGTCCCACTGTCTGTCCGTGCTGCAGACACCACAGTCCAGGAGCAGGATGTGTGGGAGTGATGTTTTTCCTTAACACACTGCACGCTTCTTCTTCCCCCTCTCTTGGTCTCAAAGCCAGTCTTAAAGGTGCAGAACTTAATATATAACATAAACCAGACGATTGGGGATTCCAGTATCATAAAGTCGCCCCAGGACAGCTGGGTACATCAAAGAACATCACAGGTTGTTGATCGTTGCTTCTTTCCTCAACCACAGCAAGTTGTGCCAAATCCAGCCACTTACAAAGCAAGCTCGGGAAACTAGTCAAAATCCTAAATCCCAACAGACTGGGACATAAGGATAGCTTAACTATAGACCGGGGCTTAGGCAGACTTGGGCTTCAGTCTTGCTTTCTCCTTCACACCTCTGCAACACTAAAAATCAAAATATTTTCATTGTATGTAAAGCTCTCCACTTAAACCACCACAGAAGCACTTGAGAGATGAGATCAGAATTGCCAAGCCAACCTTTAACTTGTGTCAAGCTTTATCTACCTTTTCTTTCTGTGGATTTTTCCAGCTGAGGACTGTGCTGATCTAACGAGTAACCTGGTGGAAAGTCTGCCTTAATTTACAACTTCAGTGGCTCTTCAAAGATCATAAATTAGGACAGAATGTGCTGTCCTTTGCCTTGCACCACTGTCCTTTGCTTTACACATTAGATCTGTGCTGGTATTTATGCACCCTCTGACATCACCCAGCTACACAGAAGGTAAAGCAGATACTGCTCCCATAACCTATGTCCTGCTTGACAACCCACTACTGTTCATTTCTGACTCTTGCTGACAAGAACTTGCTGACCTACCCGTAGAACATATGATTTTTTTCTCTTTCAGCCAAATTTGCCCAAAAAGCATCCCTTCTTGCCTCCTCAAAGGGTGTCTCCATTTCTAGAGTCCTATGCAGGAGCACTGCAGAGGCCACCTCCGCCACAAGAGGTGTTCCTGGGTGTGCCATGAGATTCATGAGGACATCATGTGTTGATGTTTTCATTTGCAGCAGTCCTGGGACTAAGCCCAAGTACACAACTGCTCTTGGTCATTCAGAGTCCAAGAGGCTCCTTGGATCCCAGTTCTACCCTGTTCTGAATAAGGAGACTTAAGCTTAAGCTTACTCCAGAAAGGCGTGGATCCAGTCTTACTACATCCCCTTATCTCACTGCTATAGGGTCCTGATTCAACCCTACCCATCACAGAGCTCCTGCTCCTCTACAGGTTCATCCACCCATAGCCCATTTGTGTCCTCACTCATGGGTGGCTTTTGGCACCAGATCATTGATAAATCAATAATTTTGTACCTTCATGTATTTCCAGCAAGGCTCTTCATAAAGCACAAAATTACTCATGAATAATCAATCACCAGAGCTCAGAAACCCCTGCAAGGCTCCAGGTGACTGATACCTCTGGATGAAAGGATTGTTACAATGAACTCTCTTCAATGGTGGTCAGAAAAGTTATTTGATATCAGAGCAACCAGGGATATTTGCTTTCCTATATGGCATGGCAGCAGCACATGGGAGTGCTTGAAGGAGGGGAGGATAATTACAATCGTCCCAGAGCTTAAGATTTACCTTCATCAAACAGAGAAAACTCTCTTCAGGTTATTTTTCAAATAGTGAGATAAGATTAGGATTAAAGGAACTCCTTTTCAAGATCAGCAGCAAGGCCTTGGCTATTTTTGCAGGGAACAACAGTGGTTATTAGAGAAGCAGATGACACTGAAGTTGTTTGGGTCTGGAGTTGCTGAGCACCTGAATGAGGGGATACATTTTCCAAAATTCTCAACAGCCAGCAGCTGTGCCCTGGTCAAACAGAAAAGCTCAGCACATGCTTATTTTTGGTGCCCACGTCAGGACACAAATTTATTTATGGCCCTTCTGAAACCATGGTCCTGCTTCTGTGCAAATCATGGTTCACAACAGCCAAGCTGATTCTAGTTCCAGGTGCTGAACAGATTTGTGAGGCTGTTGACACTAAGTGTTGAGTATGTTTATTATTTGTGCTCGTAAAAGTAACCTTTGTTTATAGTTTGACACTAACAGTTGTGACACTGCTTTTAGAAACCATTGTAAATAATGAAAGCATCATGATCAGCTGAGCTTATACAAGACTGGTCTGCTTTGTGCCCTCAGCCTCAGAATGTGAGGACACAGGATGTTTGTGGCATGGCATAAAGAATAAGGATGGAATCTAGGAACAGCATAGGGGTCAAGGATGCAGATATTTTTTGTTGGGAAATCTACAGGTCAGAAAGGGGGCAATGCTTTAGCAGCCCCTTGCATATAGAGCAAACCAGAAATAACTGACCCCTACATTGCATGAGCCAGCTTTCAGTTCCCAGAGAAAAAAGCCCAAGTTCAGTGTCCTGCTCTGGATCCAGCTATCTCAAAGTTCAAAGCAGTTGAAGCTGAGCCAGTCCATAGTCTCTAGGTACACTGTTAACATGACTCCCCTTAAACTATCCGTACAGTGCTCACCCTAATAAAGCCTTGCTTTCCAAGCACCACGAAATCTGAGGCGAGATCTAAACTTCACATCCCCCAGAGTTCAAAGGTACTTCTAGACTGACATGGTATTGTAAGAATAGAATAATTTCCTAATCTTCAACAAATTAAATGCTGGCAAGCAGCTCTTGTCTGCTCAGCACTGTTGTGACATGCTCTGTCTCCTGAACTGGGATGAATGGGAGTGAAGAGCTCTTTCTTTCCATACCTGCCTTTCACAATGGTTCCACTGAACACGTTCTCACCTGCATTGTTGTGTGAGCACTTTTTCTGACCCACTGCTCTTTTATACATGAAAACCCAAAAGCTGCCCACATAAACCAGAAAATAAGGAATTTGATACTCTAGAAACACACCTAAAGCATTTTACTATTTCCATCTAAAACCATCAAGAGGCCCCACACCCTATTGGTGAAACCACCAGTGGTTTAGGGCTCAGGAGGTCTCACTGCTCTTCACAGGGACAGTGGTCTCTTACTATGTGTTTTTCTACAGAAAAGTCACAGTTTTATCTACTAGAATAATCTTAATCACCTCAAAGCCTAGGGTATTTTCAGGCTCATTCTGCTTCTGAATACTTCCTAAATATTTGGGAATAAGTATAATCCCATACTTCATACCATGCACAACTGAAGGAGAGCTGCCTAAACAACAGATTTTTTCCTGTAGTTCTTTTTTAAGGATTTGAATAATCTCAGTTTCAAGCAGCAAGAAAGCTCTTATTTCTGTCCACCCCAAAAACATCTGGCCACTCTTGCTAAAACTAACCAAGGGCTAAAAATAAAAGACATTGGATCTCCAG